CAGGCTAAAGAGTCCCAGGGCTCTCAGCCTGTCATCGTAGGGTCTGCTTCCCTGACCTCTGATCATGCGCGTGGCTCTTCTCTGGACTCTCTCAAGCTTCTCCACATCCTTTTTGAATTGTGGAGCCCAAAACTGGACACAGTACTCCAGCTGCGGCCTCACTAAGGCCGAGTACAGGGGGAGAATGACGTCCCGGGATTTGCTTGAGAAGCATCTATGGATGCAAGCCAGCGTTTTGGTCGCTTTACTAGCCGCCGCATCGCATTGCAGGCTCATGTTCATCTTGTGGTCAATGATGACCCCCAAGTCTCTTTCTTCCATAGTGCTAGCCAACATAGCACTGCCGAGCCTATAAGGATGCTGCGGGTTTTTTTTCCCAAGGTGGAGAACCTTGCATTTATCGGCGTTGAACACCATCAGATTCTCGTCCGCCCACTTGCTGAGCCTGTCCAGGTCAGCCTGGATAACCTGCCTGTCTTCTGGTGTGGATGCTTTGCCCCAAAGTTTGGTGTCATCGGCGAACTTGGCCAGTCCGCTTCTGACTCCAGTGTCCACATCATTAATGAAGATGTTGAACAGTATGGGTCCAAGGACAGAGCCTTGGGGGACCCCACTGGTCACAGGACACCACGATGAGTGACTTCCATCGACTACTACCCTCTGGGTCCGACCCCGGAGCCAATTTTCCAGCCAGCGGATCGTGGAGGACCCAAGGCGACAATTAGCCAGTTTCTCCAAGAGGCGATCATGGGAAACCAGATCGAAGGCTTTTTTGAAGTCAAGATATATGACATCAATCTCTTCTCCCTTGTCCAGGTGATAGGTCACCTGGTCGTAGAAGGAAATGAGATTGGTCAAGCAAGACCTACCCGCAACAAACCCATGCTGGCTATCCCTTAAGATGTTGGCGTCGGCCAGTCCATTAAGGATGGCCTCTTTGATAAACTTTTCTAAGATCTTCCCCGGGATAGAAGTCAGGCTGATGGGCCTATAGTTAGCCGGATCCACTTTCCTCCCTTTCTTGAAGATAGGCACCACATTGGCCTTCTTCCAGTCTTCGGGCACTGCACCAGAGCGCCAAGAGTTTTCAAAGATCTGCGCTAGAGTTATCTAGTTTTGAAATGAAGACGCCAAAAGATAGAGAATCATCACTTCCTTTGACAGTCTGGCCAGTGGCTAATCGCTTCTGCGTAGACAAAAGATAAATAAGTCATGTTTTGGTTTGAGCTACTTTCTTCTGGTTCAGTGTCCAGCTGTTAGTTCCTGATAAACCTCTTCCATTAGAATAAAAGAGACCTCATTACTGGATTTTTCTCCCCATGAAGGTAATTTTACACCATATTTGAGCCACCTCTTAATGTTATTTTTGATAAGCTAAACAGATTGTGCTCTTCAAAATTCTCACTGTGAAAGCTGGTCTATAGCTGGGATCGTCTCCGTTCTCCCCATTTTTTTCTCTCTCATTGTACACTCTCTACTCCTTCAACATCCATTTGACAATCCCGGCACCACCCTGGGTGCGGCAGTCCAGCATGGGTTTCACAGACGCTGCGCATGGAAGATAAACCCCCTCCTCAGTCCGACTCCTTCCAGCCGGCTTATGCCTCCGTGGTTTACATTCGCTTTGTTGATCCAGCACCACTTGGGGACCTTATATCAAATAGTTTTTTATTTGTAGCCAGTTGAGCTCATGCTGTTGTTTATCAGCCTAAAAAGCTCTTTCTCTTCAAGAACAGACTTGTAAAGAGTGACCATATTCCCTCTCAGTCTATGCTTTGCTAAACCAATCAAACTAGGCACATTTAAACTTCTTTCGTACGAAAAGGTCTCTCTTCCCTTGACCATCTTCATGGCCATCTTTGAGCTTGTTCCAGTTTAAGTCAATCTTTTTTGAACACTGGTGACCAGAACTGGATAAAGTGTTATAAACGAGGTCTTACCAGTATCCTGTCCGCAGTATTAGTGCCTCCCGGTGTCTACTGCCTTGAGCTCTCCCTTCAGTTCTTTCTGGAGCTCAGTACAGCCCACGGTCTCCTTATCCATATCAGCTTTCCTTAATCCGGAAAATTATTTCCTGAAACAAGTTTTAAGCGCCCCTATTCTCACATGTAGAATATATCTGTGCGTATAGGGCAGGAAAGAGTTAAAAACATAGTTACAGCAGCAAAGTATCAGTGTTTTCCTTTTGTTGCTGAGGCAGCATGGACAGATGTTACTGAGAGTACAATTAATACTGCCCTCATGTCCTTAAGCCAGATACAGCCATACCTAATTTCTGGGAGGTTATATAAACCAGCCCAGATATAGAGAATGGGAAAATAAAGCATTTAGTGACTCTTGGGTGGGGGGAAGGAAAATTGTTTCTTCCTGGCAGAATAGCAACCTGGTGGCACTCGTCTGGGACAGAACCTGTGCAGCCCCCTGGTGCCGCGGTGACCATCACGGGGAGGCACCACTCACGGGCAGCCGAAGCCCTGCTCCCTGGTCAAAGCACTGATGTTTTTCCTAGGCCAGGTTAACCAGGACTCTATACATTTCTCAGGTCTGTGCACACGGAGAACGTGGCTGTTTTGCACACAGCCTGGTTTGTACCTGGCTGATGAACGCTAAGAGCAGCTCTTGGCTACGGAAGCACGTGCAGAAGGATGTGGCAGCGGGGCCGTGAGAAGGGAACCGGAAAGAAAGGCAGACTGGCAGCTGCTAAAGCAGGGGAGAGCAGCAGCCACACTCGGGATGATGCTACGTGCATCTCACTGAGGGCAAGACGCAGGCGCCCGCACAACCACCACCGTAGTCACCTGAACTGACCTTAGGCACTTTTCACCACTTCTAGATGCTCCAGATGTGCTGGCTTCTAACTGTGGTATACGGAGCTGTTTTCTGAAGGCTCAGCTTCTGCCAGATGTTGTCTAACTTTGAGCCACTTGCTAACTTTGGCCTGTTGCAAAAAAAGTTCAAAGTCCAAACCATTTATCTGGGCACAGGCACGAGCAGACAGGAGCTCCTCCCCAGGTCACACAGCAAGCGACTGAGGCAACTTTTGCCGTTTACCAACTGTTTGCACCTTGTCTGGTCTTGGGCTGTGTGACTGCATCACTTGGCAGCACCTGCCTGGTCTCTGGAAACACAGTGATTGGAAGAAGCCAGAATCAAGCCCCTTTCCCAAGATAAGTCTGTAATTCCTGTAGCAAGTTCTCAGCACTCAGGCTACCTCCGTTTGTGTTAGCTCCTTTGTGATGACTTCATTGTCCTGCAGAATGATCAAATGATCAATGTAACCTTTTAAAAGCAGCATTTGGTTTACAAGTCTTAGAGGAGAGTGTTAAATTAATTAGATTTCCAGCTCAGTTCCAGCTGATGATATTTCAGACATGTTTGTTCCTGTCATATTTATGTTGTGGTTCAGCATTAATTTTCAATAGATAGATAGTTTTGAGATAAGCAAGCAGCAGTTCAAGTGCAATTATATAAACAATAAGATCAGAACGGAATTAGCATGCAGAGTATAAAGCTCAGCGATCGTGTGTGCCCAGTCATTGCCTGCCTGGCTGAAGGAAGAACCTGGTTCCTGTATTACAGAAGGTTTCAGCTGCTAAGGAGTCGGTCTTTCCAGGATCAGTGTCACTGCAGCTGTCAGGTGCTGTAACCTGGACAATGGAGTAGCTTTTCTGGGGGAAATCAGGAGCTGAAGGAGAATTTAGAGAGTGATTCCATACGATTGCAGACCCTGTCAGCTCAAATGTGTAGCTTTAGAGCTTGTTAGGTGCAGCCAGGGACTAATCAGGGCCTCATTCTGAGGACTGCTCAGCATACGCGGGAAGGAGTCTGGAGAGCTGACAGACCAAGTGGGGATTCATCACTCTGTTTTGCTGATATTCTGTATTGCATTGTCATCTGGCAGAAGCTGTCATTGATTTCCTGGCAGCATGCCTACCTCCAGGCAAGGGGCTTCTACCTAGACACAGCCGGAGCGTGATAAACACGATGTTGCCTTTGATCTATAAAAAAAAGTGCTTTAACACCAATTGGGTTATTTTAACTTCTATGCTGAAGTCTGGAGTTTCAGGTGCATCACGTTTGGATCCTTGAGCAGAGAGGTGTGGGCAAATCCTGTATTTTGTTGCATTTCCCTGTCAGGATTCGTTACAGGAAAGGTCTGTCTAATGCAGTTCAGCAGCGAGAAGTGAACGTGAGGTTTGTTTTCCAGGCCCATCAAGCTGTCTTGGCTGGCACCCAGCCTCTGACAGTGGCTATTTCCATTGCAAGCTAGGGACTAAGGGTGGGAGCGCTTTGTCAGGCTCCCACTAGAGGCTGTTTGAATTTTCGCATCCCTTGTGTGAATAATGTGACTGTGCCCCAGTGCATTCTAAAAACAGGCCAGGGGGCCAAATCTAACACTTTCCCTTTGACTGTTTTTTCATCCAGCATGCATCCCATCATCCTGATGATTCTTTTTGGCCTTACTGTTGAGCAGACAACATCCCTTTGTGCTCCCATGGAGTACATCATCCACGTGGAGAAAAGAGAGTGCGCCTACTGCCTGGCCATCAACACCACCATCTGCGCTGGATACTGCATGACCCGGGTACGGGGAGTTCTGTTCTAAGCAGGGGCCCCTGCAGTGCCCGCAGCTGCAGTATGACTGCCTACCCTCACTTGTTGCTTCCACTAGAAAATTGGTGGGACAAACACTCTCCTAACAGTAGTTATACTGCATAGGAAAAGTCACGTTCATGGCAGGCTTATCAAGTCCATTTATACACAGAGGCACTTACCACCTTCCTGGCATGCAAGGAGTTGGCTTCTGCACTCCTTGAAGCCTCCTTATTAGTGAGGAGGGGCATCAAGATGGAATGGGTGAAAGACAAAGCTTTTTTTTAATGACCAATTGACTGGAATAACATCTGCACCAGCACATTAAAGCATCACTGTGCAGAGGACAGTGGCAGTGGGATGTGGTGAGATATGCCTCTTACCCACCAGCACACCTGAGGGTCATTTACTTCAATGCAGGACTTTAAACTCTAATCAGACTCACAGGCAGCTCAGGCAGGTTACCATGCTCTGGAGACAGTTAACCTTGTGAGCCTAACTCAGCACCACACCTATGGAGGCAAGGGAGACCATTCACACAGCTGCTGAAGGACAGGCCTGAGCAGGATGCCTGTGGCAGGGTTGGGAGGCCTGGCTACACTCTGAACATGATGTGAGGCTTTGAGACACTGGGCTGGTTGGGTACCCATCAGTGCATCAGAATGTCCCTCCTTTCTTTGCAGGACAGCAATGGAAAGAAGCTGCTCCTCCAGAGTGCCTTGTCCCAGAATGTGTGCATGTACAAGGACCTGGTGTACCAGACAGTGCGGATCCCAGGCTGTTCCAGTCACACGGTCCCCTTTTACTCCTACCCGGTGGCAGTGAGCTGCAAGTGCGGGAAGTGCAACACTGACTACAGTGACTGTGTTCAAGAAGCCATCAAAGCAAACTACTGCACCAAACCACAGAAGCCCTCTAACATGTAAGTGTCTAACTCAACGAGGCAGCAGTGTACACTGTGCTGCACAGCTAGTTACTGGCTGCCTGCCTGCCTGTAAAAAGAACTTGAATAAACCTGTATTGTAGGTCTGCAACTTAGTCTGCATAACTTGTTAATCTAAAAGTAATCCAGCAAAGTGACAGCAGCATTTGGTTGTACTGGCAGAAGCAGAGGGAGGCCAGCAGAGAAGCTGTTGGTGGAACTGCAGGTAGGGATGACTCGAGTAGAAGACATAAGGCATCAGGATCTGTTAGCATCACCTCCAGGTTGGGATCTGGTCCTTGGCCATGGCCCACTTTCTAGACTGGATCACTGTAACATAACACATCTCCTCTGCTTAGCAATGCCCCTGCTCTTGACTCTGAAGTGCTGACATCCCTCCCCAATTTTGTGTGTGACTTAAGAACTGTCCCTATGAGAGAGCTGGGGTTTCTTTTCAGGGCCTCTCCACAATATCTACTGGAGGGCAAAGAACATGTGGGGAGGGTGGGCTGAGCCTTCTGCTAAGGGTCTGTTTGTGAAGTTCAAGTACCAGATAAAATGAGGCTCTGATGTACAAGGAAACATCTGATGGCCTTTCAATAAATGCAAAAAAGAAAGAAAAAAAGAAAAACATGCCCCTGGCCCTCAGTAGCACAGGCTTCCCATGAGCATCTTCACTGCAATTTTGCACACCTCTGCCCTTCACTTTGGGACTACACCCTCTCCACATGCAGTGATCATATGTGCCTTCTGTAAGGGCATGTCTTCACTGCAAGGTGAACTGCACATGGGTTTCACACATGAATGCACTTAGGTTGGGTTGTACCAGTTCAATTACCAGGTTTGTACCAGTGCTGTGCACAGCTATTCATGGTGTTGGGAGGTCCAGGAAGAGTCCTTGATTCACAGGGATGTGCCTACCACTGAGCTGAGCAGCACAGCCTAAGTGGGTGACTTACCCTTGGGCTGGTAAGAGGTACTTGGACTCCAATCCACACCCTCCGTTGTGGGAGTCAGCACAGGGTGAAAGGTGTGTGCTTGTGTGCACAGGAGATGGGTAGTGGCAGCACTCCCTCAAGAGCTGGGTTAGAGTTGCAGTAGAGACATGGCCCTAGTCCTGGGCTGCCATGAGTGGAGAGCGGGGGAGCCAGAGCAAGCAGGAAAGAATTTGCTTCCCCTGCTGAATTCTGGCCTCGCCGACAGCTGCAGCTGTGCAGTGACAGCAGCAGGTGGCTCGGTGACAAGCTACAAATAAAACAGACCAGGTGCTGAGCCATGGGCAAGTTCCCATCAGGTAGTTTAGCCGATTTCAAACCAAGGCAAAGCTACTCAAAACCCCACAGAATGCAGCAATGGGATCAACTCCCAGCACTTTGTATTTCTTTATTTTTCTCTGGCATGCCGAGTCAGACAAGGCCCATTCAGTCTAAACCAGTCCCAACCAACCAGCCTGACCCCTTCATTTCAGGAGTGGCCAGCAGGCAAAAGCATACACATAGGGCCCACTGGTAGACAAGGAGCACAGCTTTTATTGTAATGGTGGTGTGGCATGCGCAGGGCAAAGACAGCTTTCATAACGCTGCTATTAATGTTACAAAGGGACTCGAGCTTTCAGAGCTGACGCAGTTAAACTGCACGTTGCACCCAATAGATCTGTGGATGAAGCCACACCAGTTCATTCTTCTGCAAACGGCAGGAAACCCTGGGCACATCCCCAGAGTGACGTGACAAGGAACTGAAGGAACGTTTCTGACAAGGTTAAAACCTGCCCTCAAACATGGATGCAACTCCCAGCAAGTTCAACGCGAGTTGGCACCTCAGGCTTGTCCGAGGGAAGGACTGCCCCGCTAAGAGTTGAAATATGTAAGTGGGCGATGAACTGCTTATGAGCTGAACCCCCTCCCCCTCTTCTTGGTGACCAGATGGTCCCGAGGCTCACCAGTTCCCCCAGGTGAACGGCACCCCACATGCCTCTGCTTCTTGTACCTCTGTTGCCTAAAATTGCTTAATTTTAGCCAACACCACCGTAACCATTTTCCCCTTAGAGGAGTAAACTCTGACTTATAAAAGGTCAAATAATGTTGTTCCCAATTAACCATGGTAAGTGAATTATGCAACTATGAGAGTTGCCACCAGTAACAATAGCAGAGGGAGGTTGTTTCACTTCTCCCAGATGAATAATGCCAACCTCATTCCCCACCGCTGCTGAAGAACATGGGAACCAAGCACTCTGGCAATGAAGTTCTGCAAATACAAAAAGGCTTGGCCCCAACTATAGCAGCTCAGATCCCATCCTGCCCCTTAGATCTCTGAGCCTGCCTAGGCACTGACCAGCAATTATGTGCTTTGCTTCTGGGGAGCAAGCCTGTTTGTGCTACAGAAGTGCACTGCTCCCAGTAGCCCAACAGGCAGCAGACTGCATCTGCAGAGGTTCAGCCTCTCTCACCTGCAGAGGCACATGGCTCTCCTTTGCTGTAGCTGGAGAGCTGTGTGCAGGTCCAGAGCATGCAGGGGGCTGCCTTCAGGCAGCCACCAGGAAACAAGAGGCACAGGGGCCGTCTGAATGCAAGACTGCATGTTTAGACAACTGCATCTTGGGATGCTGTTCTGCTGTGGAAGGGGGACATTTCATGTTCTTTTGCGAGCAGGAGCCACAACCCAAGGCTTCTTCCCCGCCCCAGGCTTCTCTGCTGCTGGCCATCCTTCTGGCCCACAGGTTTTACCTGTTCAGTGGCTCAGCAAGGTGGTAAAGGTGGTCTTTAGCCCTGCATTGCTACTGTAGTCATGGCACCTTGCTGATAAGCAGTTGTGGACTCGAAGAAGGAGGCAGCTAGACCCCACATCCCAGAGCAAGCCCCCTCACTGCTGGGCTATGGAGCAAGAGTGCAGCGCTGGAGATCTCCTCCTTGGTTCTCAGACTAATGAAGATGTGTTAAAAAAAAAAAAAAAATATATCTCTATTAGTAGTTTTCCAGCAGCGTGGAATAGGATCCTATGTCATGACCTAAATCCCTAAAAGCTGCACGAGTGCTGCTTGGACTCCGAGGTATAGGGGTTATGGGCCATTCCTAGAAAATAGCTTGTGTGTTCCATTCCCAAACATGTTACAGCTTCAAGCTTGTGTCATAACTTCCACATAACAGTCTTTCATTTGTCCCATTCCAGTATATTCAACTCCACCACTACTTCCATTACCAGAAACACTTTCCCCTAATGCTTGGTCACGCCACGCTCTGAAAAGCAAGTAAACTCAGAAGAGCAGCTGTGATCATATCACATGTAAAGATTTACACTTCTCAAATGCTGATAACACAGATGTTGTGCTACACCGGCTGTTGAGGTCCCAATAACAGCTGTGCAAAGGTATGAAAAAGCATCATGGGAAGTATGAGGAGGACAAACAGTAGCACCAAGGCTGGGAGCAGTGCTGGTGAGGCTGGGACCATGGCCTCAGCCTTCCATTAGCACTGGTTGATTGTCATCATGCCAGCACGTCCCACGCTCCAGGTGACACAGCATCCATCTGAGCTGCCGTTCGTTTCTTGGTTCCTTTTTGGGCTGATGGCTCCTGCAGGTTCAGTGCCAACAAGTCCACAGAATGGGGAAGAGACTAGGTTGAAAATCTGCTGTATCGGGAAAGGTCCAACAGAAACTCCCCAACTCCAATGAAGTAAATGACTTGAGCTATGCCAAACAGAGGGGCGATGACCAATGCTCTGCAGCCTGCCCCTTTCAGAAAGGCAGATGGACCCTCCTTCAGCCAAATTCTCCTGAGAACGGAGCACAACACCAAGTTACAAAGCCTGCAAACAGTCCACTTAGTGCACACAGCATCAGCATGCACAGAGCGATCTTGCTTGTCCATGTCAAGTCTCTAAGAGGGAGAGAACAAAGACGGCAAAGTGTGGCACCTGCCTGATGCAGACAACGCTTCGCTATCCTGTTCAAACCAAAGAACACATGCTAAGACTCGAGTGCCGGAAGCATGGATCCGGCGGCTTGGTGCTGCCCAGCCCTACCACTGCTCTGAGAAAGCTGCACAGGGCTTCCGTGCACCTCCACGACACACAGAAGAAGAATCCAGATTTCAGGATTCAGAACACCTAGCACCTTCTCGTGCTTCTCCAAATGCTCACACCAGGGCTAGTCGAGTGAACTGAAGGGCAGCAACGCATTTTAAATCACACTCAGACAAGGCTTATACCAGATGCAGTTTTACTACAGACAAGTGTACTGATGTGTGCATCAGAGAAGCCAGCTGGTATCAGCTGCCATTTGCCTGTGTCATTAATTTTCTCTCCCTTCCTGGCACAGAGCTGTCCAGACCCTTTGACACTGATGAGAGGATGAAGGATGGCAGCGCACTTTTGTTGGTAATACAATCATTGAGCCAAGGTGGGTTATATGCAGGCAGTTGCCGATTCCCAATGCTCTCTTCACAGAGACAAGGTTGCTGTTATTAGCATCTTATCTCATATAAGAGATATCTTTACATTCGGCCAGAAAAAGAATCCCACCCATAAATGAACTGGAATATTAGCCTGGTAAAACTGACCTCAGCAGTAAGGACTCACAGCTCTCTGCTGCGGAAAGTGACTCATTCATTGTGCAACACTGTCAAGAGCACCCCAGTCCTGTGGGCACATGACCCACATGGCAGAGGCAGTGTTGCCCACCATCACTCTTCATTCATTACCTCGCACAGTCGACTATTCCAGTGTAGCTTTCCTCATTTGTTCCTTTGCTCAGTGACTGCAGGCGTGTCTTTATTACTGGAAAAACATACATTTTTCAGTGGTAAAGCACAGAACTGGACTGAACAGATTTATCCAAGCAGGTCCAGGAAAGACCTCCTGGAGTTATCCATCTAGTTTCAGATGCATCTCCGTTATCAAGATCAAAGACCATTTTTGTTCTATTGTGGCACATGACAGAAACCAGAAATACCTTCTCTACCCCTGACCCAGAGGAATGAGGACAAGTGTGTTATAACCCACTTGAATCCCTGCCTAGCCTCAGAAGTGCCATGTCTCTCACAGGCCTGGTAAAACATTGGAAGCCACCCGCCACAATCCTTTGCTGCCTGTATGCACCC